AAAGCTGGAACTTTTCATTACGTGTTCACTTCATTGCATTTAATCTCATTCTTATTTCATTGGACATTTACAAGAACGTACTACAAAAAGCTTCGTATCTGATCACGCGCCGTTTTGAACAATTATTTATCATCCTAAACACCCTCCTTCATTTGTCATATCCGTAGTCAATTCCTTCGTTTCCAGTTGCCAACTACGCGTCTATGAAGTAACGTAGCGATTATCTTGATATTTTAAAACTGTATTTTCGTTTCATGGCCTGCCTCATTCTTTAGAATGTTATTTACAGCTACATATTGTTTTAAAAAGAATTTTCCTCTAGCACATTTTCCAGGGTAGAGGTCGATAAAGCTGCTGCGGCAAGGGGTTTCCAGCTACAGTTTCGCTTAGAGATGTGAAGAGTGGCCAAGTTATTTGAACATTCCGTGTAAGATTTAATAGTTGAATCCAGGGTCAGGGCTGACCTGCGAGAAACAATATATACTTCTCAGGTGTTTGCTCAACTCAAATAATTTTCTTTAGGTGGAAGAGGCGTGCATCTTCCAACATGAAATGAAATTTACCAGATGACAATATCAAGACACCCCATTTCTTGTATAACCCACAATAAAATCAATTTAATATATTAATCAATTTTTCGTAAATTTAAACATTATTATATTACCGAATAAGTAATCCGTTATGGGTGCCGAAACCGAAAACAAATATTTTTTGATATTGTAATGAAGATCTTGAAAGGTCTCATGGCCAAACAAGAAATTAATACATTAATGAATGGCACGCTTGGCGATAAGCGCCTGCAATGAAATCAAAATCAAACAAGGAACAAAATGCAAGGAAATCCAACGATATTTCCTACCTACAAAGCATTTTTTCAAACTCCATTAGTTCACATACTAGTCTTTTACTTCGATACTACATTTTCCGTTTCGAAATTCGCCCTTCTGCCTACACGAGGAAAGACACACCGCGCCGCGCCTTTGGAAGGGCATTTGGAGCTTCCCCCACATGATCGACCGCAAGGAAACGCCGCGCCGCGCCGCGCCGCGCCGCGCTCTGCGCCACAAGGCCCGAGACCGCAAATTCCGGTAGCCAGCGACCGCCGCCGAAGCCCCAACAGCTGCGCTAACGACGTGGGATGGGCTCCCCCCGCAAGGAGGAACGACCCGTCGGAATCCGGTGTAGAAATGTAAGAGGGGGGGGGCATCAAGTGACCAGAACGTAACATTTGAGCAACGTGGCAACCCTTCGGTAACGCGCGAAATAAGTGCTGTTGTTTCGTCGCAGCAAACTTTAACACGAGGCTACAACCTTCCTTTAGGAAACTCAGACAAATGGATTAGAACTCATTGCTTGCTCCTACAAAACGCAATCGAAAAGGTAAATATTTTATAAAGTCTGTATACCTTACATGCAAAACTTTTTTTCAGAAAATTTCTTTGTACAATTTTCAGAATTCATTACTCTAATTATAATTTTTATTAATAAAGACAAAGTTATAGTTAAAATAATTAGTGACCTAGAATATTTACGAATAATAGCCGTAATTATAATTCTGCAGTCTACACTAGTTCTGCAGTTTATTATTTAGCATTGCGTAAAAATAATGATACGGTGAAAATAAATTTGTTATTAAATATATTGAGATAAAATGATAAATGTTTAAATCTCCATTTTTACCAACGCACATCTTCAAAAATCATCAATTCTATAACTTGCAACTACATTCACTCTTATGACAATGTTTTCAATGTCTTTATTTTTATTATAATTAATGAAAAATGAACATAAAAACGAATCCTCTCTGCCGGCAAAAGTTCACATAGAAAAATGAGTTCTTTTTTTTCTCAGTATTTGCCCTGTAGTACACACAAAGTTTGAAGAAACGTATGCGCAAATCACAATGCGATGCGAGAACATCTGGAACAAATTCAAGGGCGTACCTCCCAGAAACACGGACTCGTACCTCACGAGGCTCGATCAATCGTTATTGAATCGTTAAATTCGGAACCGCCCAGGTGAATGGTTAAATTCGGAGGTGGTGAGTAAAACTCGGTCAGATCGGCGCGCCCTCGCCCGCGAGCATACGATCTATCGAGCGGAGCGCTCTCTCAAAGGACATCAAACAGAACGCACACGTCACGTGCGCCCGGCCAGCCGGGGCGCGCCGCAAGGCT